AACAACTGAACAACAATTAGGCAACACTGTGAAGCCCTTGGGCTCCTCATTCATCTCCTCCTCGGCAAAACCCCTTTCCATACTTCTTTCCTTTCTCTGTAAACTTCCTATGCCATTGTCTACCCCTTTCTTAATCCAAACAGGCTCCTAGATACTAGAAGGCAAGGCAGTGTCCTGGAGAGAGCCCCGGACTTGGGAGTTAGGCAGACCAAGTTTGGGATCCAGTGGGGTGACAAAGGAGAAGTCACTTAACCACTCCAACCTTCTCAGGTGTAAAATGTTGTTGTTCATTCATGTCTGACTCTTCTTGACCCCATTTGGGGTTTTCTTGGCAAAGATACTGTAGTGGTCTGCCATTTCCTTCTCTTGCTTATTTTATAAATATGGAAACTGAGGCAAACAGGGTTAAATAACTTGCCCAGGGTCACACAGCTAGTGAGTGTTTGCAACTGGATTTGAACTCAGGTCTTCTGGATTCCAGGCCCATAGCTCTATCTCCTGGACACCTTACTGCCCCAAAGAGAGTACAGGGAGAATCCAAAGAGACAAAAATCTAGGTAAAGGAACTTGCATACCTTCCAGTACTCTATAAATGTCTGATGTTCTCATTTCTTTCACACAGAGGCTTAAATAATTGATCCCTCCAAGGCAGTAATTTTCATTTTAACCAGACTTAAAGAGATACAGCCTGAGGTAGTGGATGGAGAAACTACATTGGAATGAAGAAGAGCTAAATTCAAATTTAACCTTTGAGACAAACTGGCTAGTTGACCCCAGGGCAAGTTACTTAACTACATATCTGAGGCCACACAAAGTCTATAAATTGCAGAACAGCCTTAGATTTGCAGGGTAGAGGGATTCTCCCCATTAGATGTCATTCGCCCCCAACCCCCCTCCAAAGTAATGACAGGTCTAGAACAAAGCAGACAAAGAACTTGGAATTTCTAGCACCAATAGGCAGTGGGGAGTTATTTTTTAGACTTTTTGGATTATCCTTACCAGGAAGTATTATCAAGCTAGTGTGTTCCAAAAGGTTTCGTTTGTTTGTTTGTTTGTTTGTTGTTTTGAGGGGTGGCAGTGGTGGGGGAAAGGTAGGTTATCAGGGGAATAAATTGATTCATAGGTTTTTGAGTTGGAAATGTCCTTCTAAGGGTCTGAACTCTAGTTCAAACTACTAATTTTATTGATAAAGGAAATGAAACTTAAGTAGGCAAAGTGTTTTCTCTAAGTTTACACAGACAGCAAGCAGAAGAGTTGGAATTAAAACACAGATCCTTTAGTTTGCAAGTGCCACAAATTTCCAAGTTCCCCAAGTGTGCTGATGCCACAATGTGCATAAAGTGTGTCTCTGACAGTAATCATTTCACCAGCTACATGGGCAAATACATTACACTTTCCAACTCAGGATGGCAGGATCAAGTCCCCTACCCCTCCCTTATTGGGGGAATATCTGGACATTCTGACCTCTGGACAAAACAGGGCAGTAGAAGAGAGGCACCACACTTTAGTGGAGAGAGAGCTGACCTCTGAGACAGAAATACCTTGGTACAAGTCACATCTCTGGTATATTCTGCCTGTGTGATCCTGGGCAATCCACTTATACTTTTGGAGTTTAATTGCACAGAAGGTGCCAAACTGTCTTAGCAGGACTTTCCTCATCCTTGAGTTCCCAATATTAGTGAAGTCACAGGTTCAATACCTAGCCCATAAAAGAAGGCATGTCTCTTTAGGTGAATTGATTTCCAGGGATTTGGAATGGATTCAACCTATTTGTGACTGCCATCCTTAATACAGGAGAACCATCTGTATCTAGGAGTATGCTGGTACATGTTTAATAACTGCTTCTCCAAAAATCCCCAGAACACTTTTAAATTTAATCTGCAATATTACCATTTTCTCCACCACTTCTGTAAATTTAGACAATCAATGAAATAATTAAGTCCTAATTTGTAGTATTAGCTAATTTCTGAAGTATAAATGCTCATACTATAAATTTAAAAAATGGCTAGAGCTGGCTGTATCTATTATTTATTAATTACTAAAACATATTTTTTCAATGTAGGTGAATTTTTAGAAGGGCATTGATATGCTGGAAAATGTCTAGTGGAGAACAACCAGGTTGGTGAAAGGCCTTAAGATAGACCATGCCACATAAGACTTGGTTGATGATACTGGAAATATTTTGCCAGGAGAAGAAATACTTAAGAGGGTCCATGATAGCTGACTTCAAGGGCTGAAGGGTTGTCAGATGGAAAAGGGATTAAATTTGCTTGCCTTGTTTCTACTAGGCCAAATTAGTAGTAATGAGTAGAAATTGGACACATTTAGATTTTATGTCAGAAAAAAAAGTCCAAACAATTTGAGCTGTCCAAAAATGGAACTTTGGGAGGGCATTGGTTCCCCATCATTAGAGGTCTGCCACGTGAGACTGGAAGACCTCTTATTGGGTATGTTGTTGAGGGGCTTCTGGTTCTTTTGTGGGTTGGACTAGATGACAAGTGAGAATCCTTCCTACTCTGAAGTTCTGTGATCCTGTCAAGTGAGAAACCACCACACCAGCTATTGAATGTTTGGACTTAGACTCACCACTGTCTACTCCTCTGTAGAGTACGTTTGAGAACTATGGGAATTACTGTAACCACTACTGAATAAAAAGTGAACTAGACCCTCCTTCTAACTGGACACCTTAGACCACATAATAGTAGGGAGGCTTAAGCTTCAAATGGAAATATGCAATCAGACAGAAGTCTATTTGGTTACTTCTAAATAAGCTTCTCTGTCTCTGAGCGAAGGTAGTCGTGCACTGTTAAGATAAACCAGGAGTTCTTAAGTCACAATACCTTGTGTGGAGGACAGCTCATTATCATCTGATGTTGTCAAAGCTTCTGGAATCAGTAAGAACTAATTTTATTATTAGATGCAATTAGTGAGGAAAGGGACAGAATTTCATTTGATTATTTCAAAATAAGTTTATGTGTATGGACTAATGAAGGTCTGCAATGTCAAGATAAAATGAGCACGTTTTTGTGAAAATGTCTTCTGTAGAGACTGCTTATTACCAAAATGAATCCCCAGGCAGATCAGGGAGTATAGGCTGCATTTTCAGCACTCTCTAAATGCTTCTATTTTCTTGTATTTTCAGTTTATTCCATGAAAAAAGAGCAAAATCTATTCTAAAATGGGCACAATCTAAGTTCTGTTAAATTAATACTTTGATATACCATCACAATTTCAAGGAAACAGTCATAATTTTCTTGAAATGAAATCCCTTCATGAGGAGTGAATGTGTAAATAAGCAAGTGGAGGTGGGTCACGAATTCTTTAAGGAAGGTTGCACAGAGAATAGGATGTGCTCAGTGGGATTACCTTCAGAATCTTAGAAGTTTTAAAATTAGCTCACTTAAAACATCATCATTCCTGAGTATCTTTGACAAGGTTTGACTCACTTTCAAAAGATTTTGTTGAACCTACTGAACTTCCCACTTTCTGAATGCCTAGCCTCAGTACAGTAGCTGCAGCTTGTTACTATTTTCAGATATCTAGATTTCTCCTTATGAATCCCTTGTGTAACTTTCACCTCTTCTCTAACTTAGTAAAAGGCTTCTCGGTCGAATTATTATGGCTAAATCTCTATTTCAGTAGATAAATGTAAGACTTCCCAGTTTGCAAATTCAAATGAGAATAATAGAATAATGGTGGCTGGCTCTCCTTTCACCCCGAGTTTTTTTTTTTTTAAGTCTCCCATAGCATCATCACTTAGGCTTCCAATCTGCAATGATTTGAAATGCCAAGTATCTGGGATTTTTATTGAGGGGTGTGTGTGTGTGTGTGTGTGTGTGTGTGTGTGTGTGTGTGTGTGTGTGTGTATGTATGTAATCCCTATGCTGATACCCATCCACAGATCTCTACATCTCTGATGATGAAAACTTACATTCATATTGTGCTTTAAGGTTTGTAAAGCAGTATGTATATGTTCTCTCATCTGTTCCCCAGGATAACCCTTCAAAAATAAGTGATAGTATCTCCATTTTTCAGAAATGGAAACCAAGGCTCAAAGAAGTTGCTGAGGGTCACAAAATCAGAGACTATCTAAAGTGGGAGTTTAAATCAGGTCTTCTTGACCCCAAGTCGCAATTCTAAACATTATGTCATACTGCTTTGGTCAATAATCTTTCTGATTAATATATAGGGTAAAAGGGAAAAAAAAAAAGATTCATCACGAGGCAGCCAAACTTCTGGTGATGAAAGTCTGCTCACTTAGCTACTGGACTTATATGAAAGAAACCCATGCCATTTTGGACCTTTACTGAAGTCTTTCTGGTATGCATTCTGTTGGAATAGCTTACAAGCGTAGGGTCACATCCAGGCCATTATGAGATTCAAGATTGACCTTTGGACTACCTATAACAATAGTGGTATATGGTAATATAACAGAAACCTTTCTTTGATATTAGTACTCAACGAGCAACTAAATCAGTAAACTCAAATCAGAAAAAAACTGAACCAGAACATGATCCAACCTAAGTATTCAGAAGGTTTTTTATTGTTCTGATTGACCTGTCTCACTCTCAGGGCATGAATTAATTCAAAGGAAGAGTCTCTCTCATAGTGCTTTAGCCCTTCTCCTTTAGACCTTGTTTCATGGCAAGACAGGTAGAAAAAGGTGAAAACATCAAAAAATATATTTTTAAATTGCATTCCCTTAAAAGCTTGTCAGTTCTTGTTCAACACAAATTTTGGACAGAGGTTCAAGTTGATCTTTATTTTCTCTAACCATATTGTCTATCTCCTTGGATGTTACTTCTAGAAATCACACATCAGAGTGACATGAGAGCATTCCCCCACTGGCAAACCCAGCAGAATTTTAATGATTGCCTCTATCAAGAGCTGCTGGTTTCTCTTCACAATTGATGGTTGTCTGAAAATTAAATCTCAGGGAAAGGTCAGATAATGAGTTGAATAAAATGTAACATGGGGAGCCAAACTTGCTTTTTCCTTACCCTGGATCGTTCCTCCAGTTTTGTCATCATGACAACAGTTGCCCCTCTTTGCTCCCACATCATCCTCCAGAAGTCTCCAAATGTTTCGGCAGTGATCCTTGGGTTGCTATGTAGGCATTTTGTTTCCTATAGCCATCTATGTAGTTGGCATTGACATAATCACTCCCTGGTATCCCTGCAAATAAATACGATTTTTATTAGCTGGGTGACTGATTCACATGAGGAAACTACAATCAAACATGAGATTAGTAGAGGTACCAAAACTATGTAGCCTATGAGGCATGGTAGGATCTTGTGATGACTTTTTTAAGGTATACAGATTCTGTACCTGAAAAAAAAAACCCTCCAAATCACACTGCAAAAAAATCAATAATCACAATAATGAAAGCACTGATTATTTCATTCTTTATAACTGACTCATCAGTGCCTCACACAACACATGGAATATCGTGGATACTTAATAAATGTTTGCTGAATGCTTGCTTGATTGAATGATTGATTGGCATCTATATTGCACTTTAATGTCTGCAAAGCCCTTTCTATCCACTACTTCTTTTGAGGCTTGAAAGAACCCGGTGAGGTAGGTATTATAATTCCCATTTTGAAAGTAAACAAATGGAACATAGACAGTTTTGGTGACTTGCTTATTGTCACAGCGCTGCTAAGTGTTAGAGAAAGGATTCATGTCCAGGTGTTCCAAATTCTAAATGTACTTTATTCACTAGCCCCTCATGTTTCAGTTAGACCATCAAATCAAATGTAGTTCTCAAAAGGTTAGGGTACATAGCAGTGCAAAAACAAGAAAGCAGCACCTTTAAAAGACAATGATCATATTTGATCACAATCTTCCTCATGTCCAAGACCACCTTTTTGCTGAAAGTCAAAGAACAGTTCTCATGGAATGATCAAATGATAAATAAAAATCAGCCCAACTGATAGCAGGCAATCTTTTCTTTCACTTTCCCTGGCTTTCTCTGTAACTTTTTCCTTTGTACACACAATGCCATTTGCAAAGGAGAAACAAATACCTGACTGCACTATTCACTTATCTTCTAACCCCATCCTGTCCCACAGAAAAACAAAAATGTTTTAAAACAACTTAGTAAAGGTAGTTACACTCACTGGCAACCACTCGTATTTTTATTTCTACCATTTTCTTGATTCCTGTGGTAAAACTATCCTCTCAAGGAAAGTAATCTAAGTCAGATGTCAACGAGTGGGCCCTGGGATGAACACATGGTATGAAATATCACAAACACCCATTGGACCAAAAAAGGCCTTTTGAACAAGTACGGAAATATGCCATTGGTTGTAACTTTACTCAACTATTATTGCTATTCATGAAGCAGGCAGGGCTCTGGCAGCTGCTTCTTGATGCAGACTCTGTGGTTCTCAGACACTGAATGACGTGGGTAGATATTGCAACCAGTTGTTTTGGGTCAGGAACTTCTGAGCCAAGGCCCAGTCCTGCTTCAGTAAAGATGGCACTTGGAACCTCGAGTATGGTTTCATTCTTAGTCAAGAGTCAGTCCACCTGGATGGGATTTGTTTCTACTTGATTGCATGAAGAAACCTCACATTCTAATATTTCCATTTGGTAGTTACTAAAATTAAAAGACTTCATACAGAAGATTTTGGCCAAGAGCCTAACTCAGCTGTCAATCAACTGAAAACTTTTTTTTTCAAGAAAATTCAGAGTAGAGAAATCTGGGTTAATGACTCAGAAAATACATCTGCTTGGCACTGTGTCATATTTTCCCCCTTATCAAGGATAACAAATGTTTCTGTTCAATGTATTTGAAGAAAATAGAGGTCAATGTGAGATCTATACCTAAAGGAAAGGAATCAGGCAGAGCCAGCACTTGCATAAATTTCAATCAATTATTATGTAATGAATTATCTTTTTGACACATCTGTTAAGCTTGAACAGTAAAAAAGGTCTCTCTTTCTCTCTCTCTCTCTCTCTCTCTCTCTCTCTCTCTCTCTTTCTCTCTCTCTCTCTTTCTCTCTCTCTCCCTCCATCCCTCCCTCTCTCTCTCCCTGTCTTTCCCCCTCTTTCTTTCTCTCTTTTGGCAAAGGGGTGGCTAGTAAATTTAGAAATTTTTTCGATGGTCACATTCCTATTGCCAAGAACATTCAAATTTAGCCTGAAGGTTATTAGACAGAAGGTATGAATTCTGCAGCACAAATTGCTTTAAGAATTTGAAACTTTTTATAAAAAAAGGGGAGAAAGTTTTGTTAATCTAATGTGTAAACTATTCCTTTGAATATTTCTAAGTATTTTGATTATTTTAGGCAGTTAGAGCCTAACTAGGTTCACATCCTAGCTCAAGCAATTCTTTGTTGTTTCTTCTGAAAATATATCTATTTCTCTTAGTTTTCTCATCTATCAAAAGGAGATTATAATAATCTGTACTGTTAACTTCATACATTTGTTGAAAGAAAAAATGTTATAAGCTATCAAATGCTATGTAAATGTGAGTTACTGCTATCTTCTAGATTGGAAGTCAAGAAGACTGGGCTGAAGTTATAGCTGGGCAAGTTACTAGTTTTGTGATCATGAGTAAGGCAGTCTCTTCAAGCCTCAGTTCTCCCATCTTTAATAACAGTATAATAACAGTTGCAACACATACCTAACAGAGTTGTTGTCAGGGAAGTGTTTTATGGACCATAAATCATTATGTAAACTTGGTGAATCATTAATATTACATCCATAAATTCAAAATCAAGAAAATATTAAGTCTATATTGGGATACATATAATCTAAAGAGGTGGCTGCTAGAATAAAGTTTCCTTCTACCTGGCCTATAAAGTTGGGGGTGAGAAGAAATTTCAACTGAGTCCTGTAAAGGAGGTAGGCAAATCTTTTTGTGATTGAGAAATCTGCAGGAGAGGCTACAGAATAGCTCAAAGAGGATTGCCCTATGTTTTAACAGTACTAAGGATAGTCTTAATACTAGTACCTTCATATTTTTTTTCTCTGTGTGTGTGTATGTGTGTATGTATATAGCCACTTGCGTGTTGTCTTCCCCATTAGACTTTGAGCACCTTGAAAGGAGGAGACTGTCTTGCCTCTCTTTGTATGCCTCAGTGCTTAGCACACTGCCAGGCACATAGTAGATGCTTAGTAAATCTTTGCTGACTGACTCATCTATGAAACAAAAGAGCTTGCTGATCACTGCTTGTCAGTGGGGAAACCTTGATTCTTTCAAATAGCAAAGCCAAACTTAGGAGGCAAAATGAAGTTAGCAGAACATTCTAGAGAAATAGGAATCTTCCATCACAATAAATATTAGGAGAAAGATTGACCAATACTGTCACTTAAACAAAAGGAAAATCAATTCTGCCTTCAGCCTTGATACAGGGACATGTTTTTAAGTATCTTCCTAAGTGGTCCTATTGTAACTTTAATTCTTAGACTACCTGTTAAAAATTATAGCTTTTGAGCTGGAAGGGAATTCAGGAGGTCATCTAGCTCAACCTCTTCTTTTTACAAATAAAGAAACTGAGGCCAAGAAAAGTTAGTCAAATACTAATACTGATACTACTAATAATAAAAATGAAAATGATAAAAATAATAGCTAATATGTATATAGCACCAACTTTGTTCCAGGAACTATGCTAAACAATTATTAACTCATTTGATCCTCATGAAAACCTGCAAGATAGGCACTATTACTGTCCCCTTTTACTGTTGAGGAAACTAAGGCAAACAGAAACTTGTCCAGGTCCATATAGCAAGTAAATATCTGAAGCTGGATTTGAACTTTGGTCTTCCTGACTCCAGCCCCAGTGTTCTATTCAATGGGCAACCAATGAGTTCTTGTTGTTTAGTTGTTTTTCAGTCATGTCTGACTCTCTGTGACCCCCTCCGGGGTTTTCTTGGCAAAGATATTGGAGTGGTCTGCCATTTCCTCCTCTGTCTCATTTTATGGATGAGGAACTGAGGCAAACAGGGTCAAGTCACTTGCTAATAATTATCTGAGGTCAAATTTGAACTCAGGAAAATGAGTCATCTTGACTCCAGGCCTAGCACTCTATCCATTGTGCCAAATGCCTGTCCAGCCAATGACTCACCCAAGGTCAAACGGTCAGTTAGTAGCAGACCTGGGACCGGAACCTAGGTCCTCTGACTCCAAACCCAGGGCTCATCCTATAGCATCATTCAGACTCTTGTTACTGCCACATGATAGCCATAAAATACCAGAAGAACAGCCTTCAACGAGAAGAATAAAGACCCACAGAGGCATATCAGTAACACAGACAATCCAGAGTTCCAGGAGGTAGTGAAATCCTAGAAACCTCTTCTGCCACGGACCCAGATCTGGCTTTAACCCCAAACAGAAACTTGTGCAGCAAAATTAAATATATTATTTTGGTTTTGTAGTAGGTGAAAACCTCCCATAAGAAATTTAAGACTGGAAGAAAGTAGGTTCACTGAAGTTTAAGCCTAAGGGAAGATAGAATCTTTGCTTCATGGAAGCAAAAGTGTTCATCCTTCATAATTCAACATGCCCGTGACTGCTGTCTGTTTGTGTGTGAGGGCCTGACAAAACTGATGAGCAGCAAAGAATCTTTTCCACACTGCAGGCCAACGGTATGGCAATGGTCCCTGGATTTGCAGCTGTCACAGCTATTGGCAGTCTGGCACTCTAGGAGATTTAGCTCCTCAGCTGCATCGCCTTTACTGATTCTTTTAATTCAAGAAAAGCCAAAGCATTTAAAATCTGTATTTCAATGTGGTCTGCTTCTTGATATTGTTTACACAGCTTCAGCATGTCACCAGTGAGTGGCTTTAAAAAAAAAATCTCTTCCTATGCATTTTATACCATGCAATGTTCTTTCTTTTAGAATTTAAAATACTTTCATGTATGACTTATCTGGGTATGAGCAAAAAGTGCTCAAGGGTAGGACAAGCATGCTGAGGTAGTTCAGTGTAACTGGTGATTCATTACATTATATATATTCATATAAAGACATCAATATTTACACGGAAAAATAATCATAATTAAATTTAAATTAAAACTTTGGTTTTCCATGGTAGTCAGTCATGGGAGCTATAAGCAAGAGATAGAGGGCTGAGGGTCTCACTTCCATGCAAGATTGAAGGGTGAATTCTGAATTGACCTGCATGGAGTGAGCAAGCAATAATTTGTCTTTCTGTTATGGCCAAAT